ATGGACGGAACCCCAGGGGGAAGGAGGACAGAGAGGAAGCAGATCCAGGTGTTAAATTTCAGGGTATCTGTCCGGACTGCCTGTGTATTTTCCGGCTTTCATGATGAACCTCCATCACTAGCCCCATGTGATTCTGCTATTCTACAGGAAAAAAATGGCCCAGAAAAGAGCTGTGAAGATTTACTTAATGTTTATTACAAGTCATTAATATAGATAATAACAACCTAACAAACATTTCAAGAAACAGATTTTGAGGGCCAGAGAGGAGAAAACGAATTACTTTTCTCTCTGTTGCACCACTTACCCATAAAACCACAAATTATTCTCTCCACGAGGGTGTTTCCCAGGGAAGGGGACTCAATGGTGGTGGCCTGATTTTCAAAGCAGGCACACTAGGTATGCTCTGAAATCAAGTCACTCATAAATTTCTCTGAAATCAAAGCACCCAAAATCACTGCTCACTTGAACATTCTGACCAGAGACTTTGAGCAATATGGCCAAAATCATGACACCACAAAAGAGAAGTCAGATAAAAAGTTTAGTCTTAATAAGGTCACAATATTGTTGTCTTCTCCAGACTTCTTCTCTTTCACAGGAGAAACTGTAGAGATCGGCCACGAGTTTTGACAATTTTAGTCTATGCAGACTATGAGTGAGTAGTTTATTCTTTTACTGGAACATCAGCAATTTTACTACTGGGCTGTTTTGTCCTCTATGAATTCCACAGGCCGTAAAGTCTTTACTGTTCCATCTGCTTAAAAAAATAAGGTAACTATTGCATGGCCCTTTGCTATCCACTATCATTAAATGAAATCCATTAAGTGGACATGATAGCAGACGTGTTTAAAACATCACTATTTAATGTCAGCTGTGATTGCTAAAAGGGTGCTCTAATTTACAGAACATACCAGCCTGTCTGCTGGGATGCAATGGGCTGCTGCAGCCTCTAACGTAAGGGCGAGTGTCAGAGGTCTGTGACTTTTCCATTTCACAGTGCACAGAGTCTCCCTTTCACAGACGATAACTGGGAATTTGCAACTGCTGCCAAATGATGCCCACTGCATCCTAAGCAATAGCGAATCCCTCTGGTGTTGGTAGGGACACCTCTGGAGATCGCCCGGTCCAACCCCTCTGCTACAGCAGGTTGCCCAGGGCTGTGGCCAGTCAGGGTCTGAGTATCTCCAAGGATGGAGACTCCACAACCTCTGTGAGCAACCTGTGCCAGTGCTCAACCATCCTCGCAGTCAACAAGTGTTTTCTTATGTTAAGAGGAATTTAGTGTGTTTCAGCGTGTGCCACTGTGCAGGCTTGGCCAAGGTGTGAACCTCAGACCTCTTACATCAAAGTGAAAGTCAGCTCAAGGAGGCCTGAGTAGCTGGAGACAACCAAGAGAAGACACTTCCTGAGAGTTACAATTCAAACTCACAATAAGGAACAGTACATGCGCACAAGGGAAGATGCTGCTACTGTACTGGGCAGCCCTGTTCATCCTGGAAATCCGGGCACTTGCCAACCGGGCAGAAATCACTTCATCAGGGATTAGAATAGAAACGATCCCTGCCAAGATCTCAGGCAAGGAAAGAGGATGAAAGCAGAGCTCACCCAAGGCCTAAGACATGAAAACAATGCAAAAAAAAAAATGATATTGACTTCAGGAGCTTGGGTTCAGGCTGCTACAGCTGCCTCCAGTTTCTCTTCAAATTAGGAATAAAACTCAGACGATGCAATTATGTCATCATTGAAGTCAACAGCAGAACTCCAAAAATTAAGGGACACAGCAATGATTAAGCAAAATGTATAGGAAATTAACCAATCTGCAGAGGAAAAATAAGCTTATTAACAACGATGAAAAATTAGCTTCAAATACAGCTTGATTCTGAATCCCATGAAAGCATTGTTAGGAAATATTTGCATTTACTCTCAAACCTGTTCACGATGCTTTATGTTACATCACACACAAAAGAACACTGTGACCTTCTATCACCAAAAAAGGTAAAAAAAAATGTATACAGGAATGTGTGCAGTATGCAGGAAGTTATAATTATTTTATCTTTATCTGACTTATAGAATTTATGAAAATAAGTATTTCAGGCCTCCTCAGCATAAAGATTATGGGAAATTTTTTTAAGACTATCTGATTAAGTACGCCAGGCCAACAAAGAACAGAGCCCTTGCTGTTGCTGCTCTAACCACATCTCATCTTTTATTCTTGGCGTTAGAGAAAAAGCAAATATGTGCTTTATTTTATGTGTTGCACAAATATGTGCAAATATGTACAGTGAAACCTTATTTCTGTGTTCAGTCATAACCAAGTCTGATGTTAGAAGTCCAGGCTGAGCAGTGAACTAAAGTGTGTGGCTATAAACAGGGAGGAAGCTCTTCAGGTCAGCCTCATAGGCTCAAGATTAATGAAATGGAAAAATCAAGACAGGATTGTTCAAAGCAGCTGCACCAAAACACAGAATTTGACAAAATAGAGCAATGGAGGGGAAAAAAGGGACTAAGGCTGAATCTGCTAGAAATTTCCAAACACAAAATCAAAGATTTGAGGGAGGAAAAAAAAAAAAAGGTTTTCTTTTTTTAGGCTGTACCTCTCTTGGGACTTCTTTTTAAACCTAACTGGTATTCTGGAAGCTTGATTATCTGAATGTCATAAGGGACAGCAGCTCTGACTGAATAATCAGGTCAATTTGCATCACAATTAGGTATTGGGAAGCCCAGCCTTTGTTGTGCACTTTATTGAGGTTCAAGTACTCAAAGATGACTTGTAATGACAGTAGAGATACACACTCGTATTTTCATGCTTTTCCTTTTGATTTCCTAGCCATATCCCATGCGAATGAAAATTCCAGCATTCACTGTAAAAGAGAAAAATCTTTGCAGATCTCTAAGTCGACAGAAAAGCAAACCGAAAAAAAAGAAAAAAGAAAACACTATTACAATTAAGTATATAATTTTAAACCAGCTTTGTAATTTTGGGTGCCAGTTGTATGGGCTGTAAACCCCACAGGACTTAATTAGTCCTGTCTCCCTTCTTTCCTCAAAGAAGTACTTCAAGAAGTCAATGAAACAGTAACTTTTCCAGGGTACCTTTGACCCTTTCCCATCTGATAAGTCGTTACTATCTAAGCCTCTAGTTTATAACACCTCGAGCTTATTTGTTTATTCATTCATTCATTCCTCCACGTTTCTCAGAAAAGGAATCCTGTGGCAGTATCACGGCTCAGGAGACCTGTTTCTGGGCTGCTGTTTCTCTACAGTAATTACGTTTCATGATGTGCTGGCCGCTCCGAAGGACACGTGTATCAGCTCCTAATAGCCTTCCCTTTCAACTACTCTTTTCCTCTTTCTGTCTTTATTTCCAGTCTTCCTCTCCCTGACAAACAAATTAGACCTTTTAGTTTTCCGCAAGTGGAAAGCACGCCAGACAAAAAGCAAAAGTGTGCACTGCTCTGGTGAGCATGTTAGCCTCTGGGGCTGCGTAACAGTTTTCTGCAACTCTAATTAAGACATGGCCTGTGGTTGTACCAGTGCTCAGCCTGAGCCGGTCTGGCATATTTTTGCTTTTATTATTACTGTTTTCATGGCTCTGTCACAGCAGCAGTCAGTCCGGCCGGGCTGTGCATGCACTGCTGCTCTCCAACGGAGAGAGGAGACACTCCGGTGGCTTTTCCTGCTCTTTCACCTGAGAGGGGTCTTGACTTGCAGCCTAACACACAGCCGATCTTTGATAATGCTCTGTGTGTGCTAAACAGCCTAGGAACTGAACACCCAGGGTAGATTTAAAGAGAACAAAATCGCTGTCAGGTATTTATGAAGTGCTTGTTAATGAGAAAGGCTACCCAACCTCCAGGCTGTAGGTGAGGTTACTTCTGGGCTGTTATTGCCCTGCCAATCCTCATGCACCTGGATGATTTTACTCATGATATACATGGACAGAGACGGTGTCAGCATTCACGAGCACCTTCCCGGCCCTGCAAACTCACAGTAATTTCACTCAAGAACTCCCACATATTTGTACAAAACACACAACGCCCATCACGAAAGGTTACCTGTACAGGGACATCCACCAGACTGAGCAAAGCTTTGGAGCAGCACTTAAGTAACCGAGTACAAAGGTCCCTGAGCATGAGAGCCATGGTGGGGCCAGGAAGAAAACACCCTTTAATCCCCCCTATTACTTTACTGATCACCAGTGAAAATACTAAGGAGAAATAACACTAACAGGGCAACGGGAGCTGTGAGACAGCTCTCTGGTCACGGAGCCCTGAGTAATCATCCTCCATGCCAGCCACAGGCCTCAGTTCCCCTTCCCCAGGAAAATAAATAGATAAATAAATAAATAATGGACAGGGAGCAGAGCAGAAGCGGAAGCGCCCGCGCGCGGCC